AGTGAACTATACCGACCGAGCGACCGCCGCTTGTCGGCGAAGTTAGTGCCAGCTTTAGCGGATAGAGGGTGCCGCATGGTCAGCGCAACGGATCCCCACGGCCATTAATTTCGTTGTTTTAGACCGGAGCTGTTATTTTCTTGAAATAGCTCCTCAGTTATCCTTACGAGGCTGAGTGGACCCCGTTCCAGACCCACTACTTCTCAGAAAATCTGGTAGCGCCGGGAATCGAACCCGGACCTCTGGATCTGTAGCCAGGAACTCTGACCACTAGACCAGATAGGTGGTCGGACATTTTTAAACAATTCTTAAATTCTTGGCTTGTATGTGTTCACTCATGAATAAAGCTTATACCGTTCTCTAAATAGTCATATACGAGCTAATAATTTAATGAATGTGTAAAAATATACATCAAGAAATATATCATTATCAGTGCCAAGTGTAGTAATTACTGTTTTTAGAATCATTGCTATATCGGACAGCGCATGTCATCTGTTGTCATTTTGTCTGGACTTCACAGGCAAGAGACACAAGGATACAACACTTCACCACATATGAAATCCTTATGGACATTTACATGCTTTACTTATCAAAGAAAGTAGAGCATAACTAAAACCTAAAATGGCGGCTTGGCACTGTTGGAATCAAAGCTGTTAACTCCCCAATTTGTCACCAGACGGCACTAGAGGGGCGAAGAAGGCTAGAACCACTTTTCAAGTTAAGTAAATATGATATCAGGCATCGAAAAGTTTCTCCAACCTTAATTCAATATCAAGTAATGTGAAGAGTCACTATTGCATGGACAGTCAGTTTGCGTACTAAACACTAGCGGGCAAAGACGTCACGAAGGTCAACACTCACTGCCTTCACTGAAGATGAGAGTCCTCGACAATGTCGAGTGGCAGCGTGTGCTTATAAAGGACTTGTGTCTGCAGATCCCGGACATTGAAACAACACGACTCCGCCTATAGACATTCTCTTTACAAAGGTGAGTTTCTCTCCTTCAACGCGGATTGATTCTTAGGCCGGCCTTACATGTGTCTTGTACCTGCTCTCTCTTTGCGTGCGGTGTAGGACAACGTTTGCATTAGCGCAATCGCAGACATGTACGGATCGTGCCATAGCTCAGGCTGTTTAGATGGCTTCCCACCGCGGCTTCTCGGGTTCGAGCCCCGGTCTGTTCATGTGGGATTTATGGTGGACAAAGTGACACTGGGACAGCTTTTCTCCGAGTACTTCAGTCTTCATTCCGCCAATTACTCCCACAATCACCCTCACCTATCATCCGGGGCTGGTACAATAGACCAGTAGTGGCCGCAGTACCAAGTGGACTCAGTCTCACCCCACTACGAACAGTAAACTAATTCTAATCGCAGACGTACACGTGACCTAGCGTCCGTTGCTGGTCAGGCTTAAAAGAGTGAGGGAAATGAAAAGCAGGCTGAAGCGTGTATGGCCAGCCCTAAGTTGTGTACTCCACGCAGTTCTAATTCCAGAGGATATGGCACTGATTGGTCCTGAGCTGTGAGCAGATATGGTATGGAATTACTACTCCAGCGTCTGCCTGAGACTTAAGCAAAGCAAGAACTCAGTCAGGATCGCAGGTAACACAGGCGGGATTTGAATGAACAACCTCCTGAATACAAATCTAGTCATGTCATTAAATCAACTTGATAATTAGGGTCTACGTGTAATGTTTTAACAAAATATTTGTTGCGGGCCTACTTCCCCCTCAGAATGTGTCTTTCGGCATACGAACTCGGTACCTCTGAAATACTGTAAATTTAACAATGTTATCTATGTTGCGTTTGAGTGGATAGTAACCCTTTTGCTTACAGCAAGGATATCTGGCTGAAATCTCGGAATGGGGTCTGGGTGTCCTGGCTAAAGTTTTCTTGATTTTCTTCAGTCTCGCAAGTCAGATTCCACCGTTATTAACTCAAATTAGTCCAAACCGCTTCCATTCACGTAAGTTCTAATTCATTATTCACTAAAAGGTAAAAAGGTAAAGCTATCCCTGTAACAGGCCTTGGAGATCCATAGGGTTATGAGATGTTGAGGTCCCCATATTTTATAGAAAATCGACTCACAGATGACGGTGAAATTGTCAGTCTTATGCTTCGGCCGCCATTTACCCCTCACGAAGATTCCTGGTACTCATTTCTGTTAGAGGCTGAGTCGACCCCGGGGCCATAGTTCGGCTGGAAGGTTTATGTCAAATGACCTCAACGTTACAGAAACCGAGCTTCTGTTGGAGTACTTAAATGAAGCGTAAATAGAGATATATATCATATTCTGAAATATTAGGCACATGTTGAGCTCAATACTGTGCATATCACCTTGGTATTGCGAGACACGATTCAGTTTCAAGCTCTGAAAAAAACCAGTTAATCCTTGTGTCCTTTTTCAGATGCGGAAGTTGACAGCGATTTGCGTCGTAATGTTGACTCTATCTACCACGAGAACCACTCACGCCATGTGCCACGACAGCGCAGAATGTGCCCCTTCCGGATGCTGTACTGTAGGTAGGCCCTCCGGTCACGGCTACTTTACGAAACAGTTAAGGTTTTTCTTTTTATATTTGCGCGTCTCAAGTCCCACAGTTTTGCTAAGTGAAATGTTTCCTTAAGGGATGTAGTTTTGTATGGGTCTGAAACTGAATCTCTCTAGAGGTGGAACATACACAGAGAATGTTTGAGAACAGGGAGTTCAGGAGAATATTTGGACTTGGAGGAAGTGAGATGTGGCTGGAGAAAACGACGTAATAGGGCACTTCCAAATACATACTATTTGCCTGATAAACTCACGGGTGAAATATGAGACACACATGGCACGCGTACAAGGGTTTGGTACGAAATCCTGAAGGTAAGAGACAACTTGGATGACCTAGACGTAAATGGGAGGATAATATTAAAATAGATTTAAATAAATATAATGGGAAAGCATGAACTGGATTCACTTGGTTTAGGATAGGGCTTTTTGCGAAAACGGTATTGAATATTCGGGTTGCATAAAATGCTTTAAATTTTTGATTAGCTGAGCAACTGTCAGCTCCTCAAAAAGAACTCGGCTCCATGGAGTTAATTTGTTACTTATTAAGGAGGACTAAGCTGGAAACTGGTGAAATTTTGTAATGAGAAGCTCATGATTTCTGTTTAAAAAGGCAAAGTTACTTACCCCTTTGAGCAAATGAAGTTCGTCTTGATATGTTGGGATTTTGGACTTTATCCATCGTCCTGGTTTTTAAGATAACAAATAAAAACACGACGTTTCGGAAACTGGATCTGTCCAGTGATTGAGGCTAGCTCTTTCTAAGGGACCCAACTGAATAGGTGTTTTCCTTCACCTGAGGACGGAAACAGATCCAGTTTCCGAAACGTCGTGTTTTTATTTGTTATCTTAAAAACCAGGACGATGGATAAAGTCCAAAAATCCCAACATATCAGTGTGTTATACACCATCGTCAGAATCCTATAGGAAGTTCGTCTTGTTAATATTCAGCAGAAAAACTGCATGGTTACATACTTCCCAATCCACTGTAGTGATCGCGTTTGTTTCTGCACAGCGCGCATGCGTTACCCCGTCCCGACGTGCAACGAACTGCGCAAAGAGGGAGATTTCTGTCGGCCGGGTCAGAAACCTTTCAGCAGCACCGGAACCAAACCCGACGGCTCGTTTTGGTACAATGTCACCAACGCGTACGATACCGTGTGCCCCTGCGCGCCCGGACTCGTCTGCCTGGAGGGGTTCTGCAAGAAGGGCAACTAGAAGAAACTCAAGGTAAACGCTATTGACATCAGAATTCTAAATCCTTTCCCACAATACTGTATTTGAGGCTTTTGAGTCGGTGACTATATAAAGTACTGTCTTTTTTTTTTTTTGTATGTGATGCCGTGGAGCTTGGTAGAAGTTCACACACGTTTCAGAGGAACATACTTCTTTCATCTTCAGAACTGAATAGTAAGCCATGAAAGTAGCTATGCTTTCTTGTTGCTGGATGCTTGATGGACATACTTATCGTCTTGGAGATGGAAGCAATACACAGATCCGAAACATAATGTAACTCATTTGATTAACGCGTTGCCAGGCAACAGCTCTGTAAACACGGTCCAACACACAATTGAAGAGGCTGTGTTTTCCATGTACGCGGTGACGTCACGCAGCTTTGGGTGATGGTCACGTTACATGTGTTTCCTGTGATGCTTGTCCGTTCTTCGGCTATATAAGTGACAGAATTCGTTCAGTTCAGGGACAAGTCAATTCTCGATAGGAGATAGCCACGGAAAGTTCGTAGTTGAAGAAGAGTACAAGAAGTCAGCCTGTGACGATTTAACCTGTGATTTGAAGACTTTATGTGTGCTGTAGCACAGTGATATTTGGAGTACGTGATTTAATGAGACTTTATAGTGCCTGTGCTATAAATCCGTGAAGAATAGTGCAGATAGTCTGAAGAGATTAGTGTGGAGTGCTTTGTAGTGTGAAAAACAGTAAGAACGTTATAATTAATTGCAGTTACGACCTGTAGGTTGTTAATACATCCAATTAAGGACTTGAACCCCCTCTTTAGTCACCGATACACGTGACAATATATAAAATTCTTCCGGATTGCATTGTTCCAGCCCCAGAATATATTAATCTTAAAAAATTCCTATACTATTTAAGATTCAGGTGACCCAGGGTAGATGCAGGAATGGGATTTTGTTATTGCATTGATGAACGTCCGGTATGCATTAATACGAAAACAGTAGCGGGTATATTTGAAATATTCAGATATAATTTCTCCGTTTCTTATTCTAAGGACTGTACTTATCGACGTATGGAATAATTTGAGTATTCCTGTGAGCAACTTCTAAGCCCGTAATGTAAGTATAAATATTTTAGGGTGTAGAGGATATATATAAATTGTACGAAAAATATCCGGAAAGTAAAGATACGAAGTCCAGAAAATATTTGGAAATACTTTTTTTTGGAAGGGGGATTCACTTGTAGCACTTTTACAACACACCTTTATTTACTTTTCAACATGGTCACACGGATCGCAATGCACTTAGTGAGCCTGGGAACGAGTTTTTTTTTTTATTCCAGTGTCCCAGAAATCTCCCGCCTGCTCTCTTAGCCATGGAGAACAGTTCTTGACACTTCTGGACGTTGTTGATGAAGTTCATCGATGGTTAAACGTCTGTCAGCGCGAATGTTTTCATCAAGTTTTTGATGATTTCATCAGTGACGATGGATGACCTTCCGCTCCTTATTTCATCATGATCATCACTTCTTCCCGTTTCAAATTCACGACGCCATTTTGCCGCGCTTTACCTGTTCATAACATCTTCGCCGTAAACATGAACAAGCTGGCGATGAATTTCAGCACCAGTTTCTCCTTACGCGTGAAGAAATCGAATTACTGCACGAACCTCACATTTGGCGGGATTCTGAATCGACACGGCCATTTTAAACACACAGTGAGAGCACACCGTTGCCGTGGCTGTGGCCGGTGAACTGTGCCCTGTCATACGGTTCCTATCTCACACGGCAGCTCTGCCATTTCTGGAAAGAGGAATACCTTGCATTTTTACTGGATTTATGTCTTTACTTTCCAGACATCCCTCGTAACTTTGGAGAAACTGCACTCTTTAGTCTTACCTATTAACTTATAGGAATTCCATTTGCAGATCTCAATGGGTACTGACTCAAGAGGAGAGATGAGAGGAACTCAGACATTTCGGAATACCGAAATATGTACATCGTACAGAAGAATTACATTTTATGATCATTTACGTTGGTTATAACGATGACATCATACATATATCCAATACTATAATTTTGCCTTTAGAATAAGACAATCTCCTAATTCAACCAGACATCAATAACAAATACTTTATTACAATTTGAGAATTAAATAGAAAAATTATGGACTAAGTGGTACATAAGCCTACACTACAGCCTTCCCCTTCAAGAATTGCAGCCAAATCTCTCAACGTGTTACCCTTATATCAGCTCCTCATAGCGACAAAATGGCGTTCGAGTTCCTTATGACGATAAGCCTGATGAATATCCCTTTCATTGGAGGCAACAAATTTCTCCGAAATGTCGGTTACCTTCTGTTAGACTACACGACGTCACATCCGGGAAGACATCATTATTCACCGCAGTGAAGCACGCTGGTATACTTCATCAGACCATCAGATTATCTGTCATTACTGAGGTTACCCAAAAACTTCAAGACCCTTCAATTAATTTTCACCATCAACCTCGCGATAGTAAGAAAATTATGGGCAAAGCCCATAGAACTTATCCCCTCTCAGACTCACGCATTTCGATACACGTACGATATACATGAACATTCAATTATTTCTAAAGAAAGTCTTCTCAGTTTTACTCAGCCATTGCTGCGATAGTGCCCGAAACAAACCACTTCAGTTGACTTCCATATTTAAACTGAGTGGGGAATAGAAACGCTTACGGAACTGTAAACCATTCATTATCTGTATTTCGGACAGTTAAACCTAGGAGTCGAAACTGCCTGAGCACATAGCACGCATGGGTAGAACGCACTGCATGACACGAGGAAACACGAGACGGCAAGATGACAACATGGAGCCGTAATGACGGATTGATTTATGGAAATGGTTTGGAAGTGGCCTTGACCTAATCGATGTACTATCCCAGCATTTGCTTCCATGACCTGGATTGTCTAAGGCGTGACCGCTGCGCTAACCGGGTCAGTGTCATGATGTGAACTGGAGATGTTACAACGGTGAGCAGTGACCAAAATTCAGGCTTCAACTCATAATTCCTGGAACTGTTGTGTACCATGGAGGTAAAGTTGCGTATGTGTTTGTGAGTCACTCATTGTAATTAGTTACGAAATGTTTACTGATGTACTTCACGCAACGGCAATGACAGACTGAGCGTGTCATATCTTGATAAATATCTACAGGAAAACATCACCTTTCATTTACTAAGAACGGAATATGTCGCTTGTATCTCAACTCGTGCATATGCCATAAGAAACTGAGACAACCAGACCTATCAATCTATCACAGAAGTCATTATATATCAGAACATTAGTGTACATATTAATGAAAGGTAAAGTTGTCCCTGTAATTAATCAGTTAATCAAGATTTTAAAAATATGCGGGGAAGTAAAGCTCCGCGGATTCTCAACATCTTCATGATATGTAAGGTCTACAATGAAACCAAAGTGACCATCAGGTTGTTATACTAAATTGGTCTCGTATGAATTCTTATAAATGAAAGGCAATAAAACTAAAATAGTTAATCATTATAATTTAGACTACTTCCTGCTTTACCCATTCATGTTTCCTTTACGATGATACATGTTTCAACATTATATCCAAATTATTTATAGTGGCGTATGGCTTCGCTGTTTTGTTTCTACGAAAGCTCGTCTCTTCTTCTGGAGCTGCAATATGGTGGCGCTACTGACTGTCAGACGTAAACTACAGCAGTCGACAACCATACTAGACTAATGTTAGGTAGAAGCCAGTCACTGGTTCTAAAAGTAATGTTACCGATAAGGTCTGTATTATAAAACATATCTACTTAACTTCTTTTGGCTTATTTTGGACTTCACCCATCGTCTGGTATGTAAAAGACAAAAAAACACGACGTTTCGGAGACTGGATCTGTCTCCGTCTCCTTCCCTATCCACCTGAAGACGGAGACAGATCCAGTCTCCGAAACGTCGTGGTCTTTTTGTCTTCTACATACCAGACGATGGGTGAAGTCCAAAATAAGCCAAAAGAAGTACAGTATACACCATCGTCAGAATCCTTTCAAGTCTATATCTACTTAAATTCGTTTTGCTTCAACATTCAATGAAATAAAACTGTATAAAAGGTAAAGTTGTTCCTGTGCTTAACTAATTAAGCACTACGCCATGAAGACGTATGGGGAAGTGGATATATAGATCCATATTTTCTTGACCTCGGCACTAGAGGTGAGTGGTGAGTTTTACGCCTCTACCTCTTTACCCCCTGGGAAAGAGCCCCCGATACCCATTGGATAGGAGGCTGTGTGGGCTCCAGAGCCTGTCTGGACAAAGTAGAGAAGAGAAAATTCTTGACCCTACGGGGACTCGAACTCCGACTCCTCTGTCGTCCAGCCCGTAGCCAGTCGCTATCCCGGCTCATAATAAAACTGTATACGTGATTTATATTATTCTGTCTACAGAAATAAATAAAAACTTGAGAGCACTGTTAGTACTCATTTGTGAGAGTGTAATCGCACGGTAGTGGTGCATTTACGTAATCTCCATGCTTTTCAATGCATTTCAATTTCATCAAATGATCTACATATATTCCGAGTCCAGCAGAGTAAAATATTTAGGATTTGATGCTCTCATTGATGTGGTTATGAAGATTTCTGCTTTCTAGAATATAACATCCTTGTAGTCCGTTGACTATCAATGGACTACACGGCGTTATGTCCCACAAGACAGAATTCAGAGTAAAATACTTTTGGTTGGACCTTAAGTCATTCTTGCGCCGCAACTTTCAATGGCGGTTGCTCAGTGTTGATAAAAAGAACTACACACATGAACATGATAATTAATACGATATTATGATACACAATAAAAAGTCAAGAAAAGAAAGTTGAACCTCACGAGGAATGTAAGTTACGTCCCTCTTCCTCTCCAAAGGTAGAAGTCAAACAAGAGCTGAGTCCTCACCACTAACAACACATGTCGGTGATGTAATAAAATGGCCTTGAACTTCTTCATGTGGAAGCGTTACATAAAAGAGTGGACTCACTGTGGGCTGGCCACAACCTGTGTGGACGTAGTGTACTTCGTCAGCCCAAGGTAAGCAGCGGACCAACCGAAGCCACTGTTCCTGCTGTCTACATGACATTATCAATTAGATTAAGGTGGAAAGGCTTAATTTTTATTGCAGAGATACCATTTTTTTTTTCTCGTCCGTGTTAACGATAATCCTGGCCGTGGTTTTCCTCCATTCTTTCAGGTCCACGCCTAAGTCATACTTTCAGACAAGTCAGCATCGTTTCTTCACGTTTAACATTCTCAACTTCATTCCATTCCGTTCTGAACGGCCTCCACAATTTATAAACCTATTTCATCCATTCAGTCATCAGTTTCGTAATGTTTTTACACAGACGGTAGGATTCCTTGGATGAGTTATCAGCCCGTCGCAAGGCCGCTACCTGCACACAGACATCCATGCCTTGAGTGGGACTGAAACCCACGATTCCAGCATTCGAGCGAACGAAGACAGTTCCGTGCGGCTACTGCGATCGTCTTCATAAACCTATATCGTCATTAAATAACCGATGTTTTACAATAGAAATTAATACTTCAGTCTTCTGGGTTGTCACGCCGTGTAGTTTGGTATATCATTGTTAACGTTTCCGAAGTAGTTGCTAACTCAATCTTCAGTTCTACTCTGAAAATGTGGGCAGCAGGTTCTTCCGAAATGGTAGTAACCATCTACCAAACTACACGGCGTCACATCCTAGAAGACGGGAATCTTGTTATTCATCTTCATGAAAATCTAGCAGCTCATAGAGTTACATCAGGGTCCGCTGTGCTTTGGCATGCGTCACTGCTCAAACGTTGCCTTTTGGGGTACGATGTCGCGTGGTCTACTGGAACGTTGCCGACTTTTCAGAAAGAAACCCTCTGCCTTCATTCTCAGGGTAGAAGATTGTTCTAGCCTGAACACTCAGGCAATAGGTCCCAAAAGACAGAAATCTTCACCCATAAAATGATCTGGATATACGAAGCCCAGTGCTGAGATTCTCTTCCTTCTTATGCGTAAGTATTCGCCACTCTCCTACTGAAATGGTTCGAGTTGCTTCGTACTGACCAATTATCCGAGGAATAAACAATAACAAAATCTTACTTATATATGGATATTTTATTTTGTTTGTGGTTTATTTACCGGTCTAGTAAACCGAGATTAACGGCCGTGTGGATCCGTTGCGCTGACCACGCGACACCCTCTATCCGCTAAAGTTGGCACTAACTTCGCCGACAAGTGGCGGTCGCTCGGTCGGTATAGTTCGCTTGCGGATACAGGCCACGGAGTTTATTTTTCGTGGTTTATTTAAGGACGCTGACAATAAAACAGGCTATAGATCTATAAGGTCGAATTGAAATACGTTTAGCGAATAATGAATTGAGGAGGCTATAGAAGGAAGTGGTGGTGTACTATCCCAATAGTTAGCTAAAGGGACTGAGGACTATGGCGGAAAACCTCAGTCAGAATAGGCGATGATCCAGCCGAGAATCAAACCCAGCATCTACGCAGCACCCCCTAAGTACAATTCTAAGATATTACCACTAGACCATCCTATTCGGTTAAGATATTTCTTAGTTGTCTACCAATCAATAAATAGATCAATGGTGAAATCTAACATTTTCTCTGGTTTGAAAGATTTTCCGCACTCGAACTGGGATTTTTTTTTTCAGTATTTAGTTTTCTTGTTTACCCATAGAGAGCAGACTTCGATATAAATGTTTATCGCATTTGAAATTTATTCGAGCATCTCCAGGCTGTATTTTACATGTAAATCATTTCTCGGCCTTAAAATCACGTTAGTACTTCGACAGAATTACAAATAAGATGTAAAAGTTTGTTACAATGGTATATTATTGAAATTATTCCGCTTTTGGACATTACCGCCATCTGTGAGCCGATTGTCTAGATAATGTGGGACCCTCAACGTCTCACAAACCTATGGGCTCTCACGGCCTGTTTTAGGGATAGTTTTACTTTTTTACTTTACCTTATCATTTTCTTTTATTTAAAACAATGTTTCGGAAATGGATTCTGTCTCCGTCTTCAAGTAGAAACCTACTCATTTGGGCCCCATCGATAGAGCTAGACTCTATCTCCAGACCTGAAGACAAAGATGGAATCCAGTCTCCGAAACTTTATTTTAAATAAGAAAATGTAGCGATGGATAATGTATTAAGACACAATAACTTTATCGAATGAATTACAAACCACTCGAAGTAGTGTACATCTTAGCCGAATGTAGACATGCGCCCTACAGCACATGCAAATGAGCTCGAGACATGTAAAAAATGAATTATGCGGAAGGCAGATGGACAGAAACTGGGTGAACTGTTGTGAGGGACTGGACTTAACAATGCTACGTAATACCACAAGTGGATATGCAGGTTCCTGTGCTGTTGTCTCCAATCTGGCAGAGAAAAGATAGATTCCGAAATTAATAATTTCCTTTAACTTCACTCTATAATTAGAATGATCAAGTCAAGGAGGATGAGGTGGGAAGGCCATGTAGCACGAATGGGGGAGACGAGGAATGCGTACAGGATATTGGAGGGAAAGCCAGAAGGAAAGAGACCACTGGGAAGATGAAGGCGTAGGTGGGTGGACAATATTAAAATGCATCTTAGAGAGATAGGATGGGATGGTATGGATTGGATTGATCTGGCTCAGGATAGGGACCAGTGGAGGGCTCTTGTGAACACGTTGATGAACCTTCGGGCTCCATAAAATGCTGGGAAATTCTTGAGTAGCTGCACAATTGGCGGGTCTTCCTGAAGGGCTCAGCTCCATGAGTAAGTAATTAAGTAAGTAAGTTTAGCTTCACTCCATATACTTCTTAACACAAAAATTTCAAAATGCAATTACTGACACCGGACATCTTTGCTCCGATTTCAGGAGTTTGATTCCCGTGTCGAGTATACAGAGGAACACCACCTGTATGTAGGCTTGCAGGCCTGTACACATACGCCAAAGCCTATTTCAACACAAGAATAATATATTTGTTTATGGAACATTTAAGGATTCACGGATTACAGTGGCAACACGGTCTAAGACATGAACAGCCTTCGCTCGTCAGAACGCTGGATCGTGGGTTCGAATCCCACTTGAAGCATCGATGTCTGTGTGTGTTTATTCTGTGTTTGTGTTGTTCTGTGTGCAGGTAGCGGCCTTGCGATGTGCTGATCTCCCGTCCAAGGTGTCCTACCAACTGTGTATAAGACTTAGAAACTGGAAAAGCTGCAAAGGTTCAAGAAAAGGCTGTAGAACCATATTTCTTTTATTGCTAGTGGGGTGGGACTAAGTCCCTTGTACTGCGGCCACTTCTGGCCTATTGTACCAGCCCCAGATGATAGGTGAGGGTGATTGTGGAGCAATTGGTGGAAAGAAGATTGGCAGGGGAAACCGAAGTACTCGGAGAAAACCTGCCCCATCGCCACTTTGTCCACCACAAATCCCACTTGACCAGACCCGGGATCGAACCCGGGCCACCGCGGTGGGAAGCCAGCGACTAACCGCTTGAGCCATGGCGCGGCCCGATATTATGTCTTAATATACCTGGTTATGTACATTTACTTATTGTTAACATCACACCTGTTATTACACATTTAGTCCATTCTTTACTTGGGTTTAATAGTATACATAAATGCACTTAGTTCTTTAAACAGAATTATATAGTACAGGGCGTTCAATCAAGGAGGAAACTTCGCAACACCGCTGATCGGGCCCAATATCCCTCACAGATTGCTGCTGTAACTGTCACGGCGCGCGTTTATCAGCGCTAATGACTCATTCTGCCATCAGCAGTTACTGTAGCAATCTGTGAATAATATTGGGCCGGGTCAGCGGTGTTGCGAAGTTTCCTCCTTAACTGAACGCACTGTATGACTAGTCCATTTAAATCTCTCTCCTCAAAGATTTGTCGGGTCTATGACCACACATCTGCATTTACAATTAACAAGGAATATCATTGAGTGCCCTGGTCTTAAAGCAATTATACATTAATATAAGAAGTTCCTTATTCTTTGCGTGCAACAACTTTATCAATCTTGTACTGTTTACATATATGACAGTGACGTCATTGCACCTGCTACTTCTACATTATATAGCTTCATTCATTACACTAGCTCAGCTTATTCGACCCTGAAGATGGAGACGATTATGTTCCTCCGAAACGTCGGTTGTCTTTCAACGGACTACACGGCTTTGTATCTTTCGCATGTTACAGCCCGCTTGCCGTTTTGTCACAGAACCGTAGTGGAATCAGTTTCTCTGTTAAGGGGCCCATACACGTACGAGTCTGACTCGCGAGCCGGGCTCGGATTAATTTCACGACACACGCATGAGCTGACTCCCAACTTTGCGACCCATACACGGACGAGTTTGGCTCATCGGAATCCGAGCCGCGTCGGACTCTTACGTGTATAGGCCCCTTTAGTAAGAAATGTACCACGTACTTCTGAAGTTTTGTGTTGTTCTCACTCAGCAGACGGCTAAGCCGCACGAGTGAGATGCTCGGATGCTTTGCATTCTTCTCTCTGCAACAGAAACAGTTTCTTCGTTCTGTACGGAACTTAACTTTCAGATGAGACAGATGTCAGTCCTAGTTGCAGTACTGTGTGTCACCCTGTGGTCATCAGTGACTTCCGGCCAGTCGCCACCTGCTGCGTGCAGGGACAGTTCTGAATGTAGCCTCAACCACTGCTGCTTGCTTGGTAAGTGAACGTAACAGTACCACCAAAATTCAAAGTACCGTTGCTGGAAGTCCACAGCACTGAGAGCAGAAACGTGTAACTGTGGGGGAAAGTTCGGTAAAAAAGGAAGACGGAGAGGAGAGAATGGAGATTAAAAAGAGGCAGAAATAGGAGAAGAAATATAATATAATGTGGAAGAATGAGAGAAGAAAACTAATAAAAAAAACTCCGATGCTTTTAGTCCGCAAGCGACTATACCGACCGAGCGACCGCCGTTTGTCGGCGAAGTTAGTGCCAACTTTTGCGGATAGTGTCGCGTGGTCAACGCAACGGATTCCCACTGCCGTTAATCTCGGTTTTCTAGACCGGAGCCGCTACTTTTCCTTTCAAATAGCTCCTCAATTATCATCACGAGGCTGAGTGGACCCCGTTCCAGACCCATCCAGAAAATCTGGTAGCGCCGGGAATCGAACCCGGGACCTCTGCATCTGTAGCCAGGAACTCCGACCACTAGAACACAGAGGCGGCCCAATAAGAAAATAAAGTTATGATTTTATGCCGTCTTCACACCTAGGTTATTCAACAGCCCAAATTTCTTCCGCATTATCTGGCTATGTAGAGCATACCGCTATTACATGCTACGGTTTCTCAGATTGTAGTGTTTTGTATTGTGACAGCATGTAGTCTCGTACGTGAATACCAATATTTCGGAGAAACCCTGAAGATGGAAACAACATGTACATCCGAAATATTGACCTACAACACTATAGTCTGTCACACAACCCAGAAGAGCGCCATCTGAAGAAGCTACCGCCATGGCAACTGCAAGTCGTGTGAGGCCTACTTACTTTTCATGCCTGTAGGATGGACAAAGAGCGTCTCGGTTTGTATCAGCTGAAGTTATGATTCAGAGAGAAGTGGGTCGCTGTTCTCAACAATAAGACAACGGGTTTATCTTGAACGACGAATCCGAGCGGATATAGAAGGATACGGTGCAATTAAATATTTATTCAGAATAAACACGAAAGATCTATTGCAATATCAGGGTCTACGTTCTGGATTCAGACTGATAAGCCGCACAGTACGAATCTGGGAGCTTCAATTCCGAGATACGAAGCTATAATATTGTGGTAGTCCTGAAAGTGTTTTTGTTCTTACCTGGCACCTGTAAGCCAGCAACAGTCCAAGGTCATATTGTATGTTAGAACACAAAAAAAGTTTGACAGGTTAACGGTCTTAATCGTAATGCATACAATGACGTCTTCAGACTCTCTCCCTCTTGACACGCTGACAGTAGTTCAGCTGGTTAAGAAATTCCCCACCTTGTATGGAAAGGTTAGTAGTCGTGTTCACAGAAGCCCACCAATGGTCCCCTACTTTGACTAAGTTCAATCCAGTTTACATCATCACATTTCTTTACGATTCATTTTAGTATTATCTTCTCACCTATGCCCAAGTCTCCTTAGAGACTTATCCCTTCCATGGTTTTCGACCAACAGTTTGTATACATTTGTGATGCAGAGCGTGCTAAGTCCCGTGTCTATGTGATCCTTGTGGGTCTGAGCCCCTAGCAACATCCTGTGCATATGCAACTCGCGAAGCACCTCACTATGTGACCCTTTCTACCCTTCTGCTATTGTTTCCACTTAGGCGTCAGGATAAGTCATGTGGTATAGCGACTGGACGACTTAGGAGTCAGGGGTTCGATTCTGAATAGGGACATGAGATTTTTATATCGGGAGCTGCTTCCCCCCGGGGGTAAAGCGGCAGGGGCGTGAGTCTGACCACACGCCCATCTAGTGCCGAGGTTAATAATGCGTCCTATACCTCATTTCTCCATATGTCGCAATGCTGAGGTGCTTAATTAATTTAAGCTCACATTAATTTTGATGGTAAGTCTATGGTTTATGGATAGAATATGCATCTGAATTTCCTTGTGTGACCGCCTCTGTGGTCTAGTGGTCAGAGTTCCTGCCTAAAGATCCAGAGGTTCGGGGTTCAATTCCCAGCGCTGTCAGAATTTCTGAGAAGTAGTGGGTCTGGAACGGGGTCTTCTCAGCCTCGTGAGAATAATTGAGGGGCTATTTCAAGGAAATAGCGGCTCCGGTCTACAAAACCGAGATTAACGGCCGTGGCGTTCCGTTGCGCTGACCACGTGACACCCTCTATCCGCAAAAGTTGGCACTAACTTCACCGACAAGCGGCGGTCTCTCGGTCGGTATAGTTCGCTTGCGGACAACAAGCCATGTTTTTTTCGTTTTGTATTTCACTGTGTACAGCCAGAAAGGAATTCCTCGTTATTTGGACAATATTTCTGTTGGTCGCAGGTAGATACCATGGTTCAGAACCTGCGTGCAACGCAGCTCCAGGGGAGAACGGTGTCTGCCGACCAGGTCAACTACCTACAAACACTACAATTTACGGAACAGACGGGAAGCCCAAATACAATGTGACCAACGTGTACATTGACGTCTGTCCATGCGGCCAGCAACTCTCATGCGATGCCAACAGCGGCGGAGTCTGCAAGAAGAGTACATAATTCAACCTTGACAAAGCGACAGCAGTCTTCAATCCGATGTCAATGAAGATGTTCCTACAGACGTCAAATGGATCAACAATAGCTCACAAAGATTTACTATTATTGTAACCGGTTTGTAACAATGTCTGTGTGTTATCTGATAATGTATATGATATTTCTTTCTCATGTCTTAGTAGTTCTCTAAAGAGTTGCGTAGGTGGCAGCACTAATGTTCGACTCTGTGTTCTCATAAAGATAAAGATGTATCTTGATGTATTATTTTAAAAAATTAAAGGGCAATGGATGTTAAAGGGTAAAGATAATAAATTAGTCATCATTTCCTTTCACTGATATGTGCTATTCTGCAGCGCGATAATTCTTCAGTTTATCGCGTAAAGTGTAAGAAAAACATAAAATAATAAAGGCTTGTGTTTGTAAATCTACAACTTGTGTTTCTTTAGTTAATGAGAGCCCGTTTTCTGAACTTGTGTTCACTGTGATTTATGCGAATGAATTTAACTTACATGGATAAGAATATACTGAGTTAGTACGCCTATAATTCTAGGCCGCGCCATAGCTCAAGAGGTTAGTCTCTGGCTTCAGACCGCGGCGGCCCGGGTTCGATCCCGGGTCTGGTAAAATGAGATTTGTGGTGGACAAAGTGGTGCTGGGGAAGGTTTTCTCTGAGTACTTCGGCTTCCCCTGCCAATCTTCATTCCACCAATTGCTCCAAAATCACCCTCACCTATCATCTGGGGCTGGTACAATAGGCCAGAAGTGGCCGCAGTACAAGGGACTTAGTCCCACCCCACTAGCAATTAAAAGAAAAAGCCTATAATTCTAGTCCCAGTTCTCGCACGACGACTTCTAAGGGGTTTCATTTTGTTTGTCTTCGTCATCTACATCAAGGTAGGCTTTTATTAGCCCGTTCTCCGACATTAACCCCCACCTCCCGCACCATCCTCCTGGCCGTCCAACATTTCTTGACCTGCCTAGCTGGCACTTATTAAACTTTGTGATCATTGTTGAAGAGTCCTTTCTTGAGGCTTTATTATGCCGCTTCTTTTTGTAGTCTTTCATTACGTCTTATATATTTCTAGTGCACTGAGTACTGTTGTATTGCGTAGATGGTCTGTAGGTGTACATGCAGAGACACGTTTTGGGAAGGGCATTTCTGCTGTTTCGATTTACTCCCTTTTACATCGACTCCAGAGTCCAGTTCCCACTCGCATACATATACAGTGGGAACTGTTGTTACGTTAAAAATGTAATCTGTACATACTTCACAGTCTTTTTTTTTTCGGAGTTCTTTATTTAGTTCGACACATATGTTGAAATCCGTCATTTTATCGTGAAACAAAATGGCCGTTACTTGCCTATGTTCGTAATGTTTAATATATAAAATTATTTTGTACAGGGCACGCGGTAGCGTAGTTGGTTGAGGCACTATGCTACAAGCCGGAAGGTCACGGGTTCGATTCCGGGTAGGATCATTAGTTATTTCAGTTGACCTAATCCTTCCAGCCGCACTATGGTCGACTCAGTTTCTAACAGAAATGAATACGAAGAATTTAAAGGACGGCCGGCGCGTAAGGCTGACAACCTCACCGCCATCTGTGAGTCGATTGCCTAGAAAACATGAAAGACTTGACGTCTCACAAACCTACGGGCCTCCACGGCCTGTTACAGGGGCAGCTTTACTTTTTTACAAAATGTTTACGTAGACCCGATGTCAGTCTTCTTAAATGAACACCGCATCTAACTCTAATGGCTTATTAGTTATCGGCATCAACAAGAAATTGACAGTCCCAGGCCTACGGGTTTCGCTCGGCCGCCATGTTTCTGTTCTAGGCTCTACAGAAGTTGCGTGTTTTCGGGAACCTAGAACTTCAGAATATTTCGGTACCATATAGGCTTGTTACATGACTTTGATATCGCTCTCACTTCAGAATTTCGCACGACTGACATGTTGATATTGTAACTTATATAGCTAGGCAACGGCGCGATAAACACCTCGCTTAAAGTCACGTAACAATAGGATGAATGTTTATAGCTCGTTGCTAGGCAACAGTCAGCGAGCCAATGTCACATCGGCACTGATCATGCTTAGATTTTGAATGCGTAATTTTTGAGTCTAAAGTCTCAATATCAAAACGGCAAAATCATCACTATGTTCTGGAGTATGACGTCGTTCAATCTGGTATTTGCCAATGTTTCGGAGATCGCGCTTCCTCCCTTTTTCTATCCCGAAGATGGAAGAGGAAGGTTACTCCGGGAAGTCGCTAACTATATACCAGACTAAACTGCGTCACGCTCACTCCTCATAGTCACGGATGTGAGAACCTCAAATTTCACACAAAAAAAAACACAAGTTTTCATTAACACGGGAGTAGCTAATGGAATAAAAGAATACTCTTGACTCTACGACAAAGCTTTTGGTGGTCTCTGGTTCTGATCCAGGACGCGGGTACTTGACTGAGCCTGTACCAGTTGTTTCACTCATTCTTGGAGTGACATGGACGACGGTTGACATTCTGTAATTTTCCCACAGATGTTACGAGCTTTAGTTTCATGCAGGGCCTGATAAAGGTGAGATGAAGCCCGAGCTAATTACAAATCGGGGACCCCCACTCCACCACGAAAGCCATATAAAAAAAAAGAATTCCGTGGCCTGTAGTCTGCAAGCGAACTATACCGATCGAGCGACCGCTGCTTGTCGGCGAAGTTAGTGCCAACTTTTGCGGATAGAGGGTGTCACTTGGTCAGCTCAACGAATCCCCGCGGCCGTTAATCGCGGTTTTCTAGACCGGAGCCACTATTCCTTGAAATAGCTCCTCAATTATCCTCACAAGGCTGAGTGGACCCCGTTCCAGACCCACTACTACTCAAACTCTGACCACAAGACCACAGAGGTCACATGAAAAGATACATATATTTAATGAATAATTTTAAGAATCAGGTTTTCTATCAAACTAATTTCGTTGGTAGGCCAAGAATAATAAACAAACAATTTGATTAAACGTAATTCTCACTTTTCTGCTTACTTATGAAAATTGTTAGGCTACTTTCCTTATTTAAAAAAATAATAACGTGGGCTTGTGAGATCTCCCTCATAAACGTCTGAAGGACTGAACCAGTCTATGAAAATTGGTGTGTGTGTATCCTCATGACACCTGAGCCCTTCTCATCGTCATATTCCATAAATCCCACTCATCGGTGTGTGTCTGTGTGTGTATTCCCATATCGTTGCTAGGCAACGGTTTGCTAAAACGTCACCGTTGCAACGAATACACACGCAACCGTAGAACAATTGATGGACGCGTCATTTTCTATGCTGTTTGCGTCTTTTCGAAGGAAAGTAGCGATTAGTTCTTCCTGGAATTTTTGGTTTGAAAGTAAATAAGAGCATATTTGAGGGCCTCTTAGAACAGGGGTTTGCGCCAAATAAACCTGAACCCCCCACCTCCATTTGGACTTGGTTTCATACAACGGAATTCCCCGCCTCTGCTGATGTTTTAGAAGTGTATCAACGGCACATCATAATCACGGATACTACCCTCTTGGGCTTTGTTTTTGTCTTGAAGCAGACGGCCGCCAACTGAAAGCCGGTTCGACTCGGTGACCCACAACGCAGACATTACGCAACTATCGTAGTTTAGCGAAATCGTAGTGACAAACAGTTAAATGGAGAAATGACTTGTGTTAATGTATTAAATATTACATTTTATTTGGACTTCGTCAATTTTCTGTGATTTGTAATGCAAAATTATGAAAGTTACTCTTCTTTTAAGTTACACAGAAAGCCTACCCCAGTGCCATTTTGTCCACCATAAATCCAACACAATCTGACCTGCGCTCGAACCCGGACCGCCTCGATGGGAAGCCTGCGACTAAGAGCTCAGTCTAGGCCGCACCATAGCTCAAGCGGTTAGTCGCTGGCTTCCCACAGCGGCGGCCCGGGTTCGATCCCGGGTCTGGTCAAGTGGAATTTGTGGTGGACAAAGTGGCGCTGGGGCAGGTTTTCTCTGAGTACTTCGGTTTCCCCTGCCAATCTTCATTCCACCAAATTCTCCATCATAATAATCACCCGGGGCAGGCTACAATAGGCCAATCAGTGGCCGCCTTGCCGAGTGGACCCAGTGGGACTCCACACCCCACTAAGCGAATTAAAAAAAGTGGACACAGTCTCACCCTATCCCGAGAAACTAAAAAAAAGAAAGAAAGAAAAAAAAGGAACTAACCCCGGTGGTCCATGTTGAGATGTGCCGAGGCCTTCATTTATCTCATGGAGGGCATTTTGAGTACTTAAAAATTTATTCTTTCAGCCGTAACTTACAAATTAAATGTTTCCGGGCAAGTGTTGGTATGGACATTTTTGTTCTTGTTTTGGTATGTGGAACTCGTGCCCAAAATTTGTCCGCTCCTTTCAGTTACACCCTGTCATTCTGTATATCTGAAAAAATAACATTGAAATAAATCTTAATGAAATAGAATGTGAGGATAACGGCTGAACTCATTTGATAAAGGTTTAGGTCAAATGGCAGGTCGTTATGAGCAAGAAGAGAGATTATTAGATCCTCCAGAAGAACTCGACTTCACGGAATCAGTTTCTTGGTTATAGTACGAGCAATCGATGTGGTCCCCACTCGCGCTTTACCTGCAGAAACGACACGTGACTCACTTGGCAAATAGCGAAGCTTAACTTCAGAGCTGTGTTGCAGTTCCTCCTGCATCCCCCACCATCTGCTGTTACTCTTCATCAGTGTAAGCTGTGGTCTCAGTCCGCTTGGCATCACTGTATCGAAGCGACCAGATGAACTGGTCTAACTGTAGTTCAAATTCAGGCTCCAGTCAACATCAGAAATGTCTTTTCTTCTTCCTCTTCTTCTTTCAAGATTAGACTATAGTGACGTAACTACACACGAGAATGCAATTGTAACGTTGTTACGTAATATTAGAGAGGTCATTTTCATCTTGGTGGACGAAGTGGCACTGGGACAGGTTTTCTCCCCTGCCAATTCTCATACCACCGACTACTCCACAATCATCTATCGTCCGGGGTTGGTACAATAGGCCAATTAGTGGCCGACGTACCAAGTGGACTCTTCTTGGAAGTGGGTTAAGAGTGAGTACATTTGGTACGTCGGCCACTAACTGGCCTATTGTACCTTCCCCGGACGATATGTAGCATAACTTAATTGGGAGATCTTATATCAGTTCACGGGATTCCATGTTGTATCGAAATCGTTGGGGGGAACGCGTAGTTGGTTGAGGCACTATGATACAAGCCGAAAGGTCGCTGGTTCACTTCCCGATGATTTGATTGGATTTTTCAATTTCCCTAACCCATCCAACCACACTATGGTACTGGGGTCGACTGAGCCTCCAACAGGAAGCAACTTAATGAAAGCACAAGAGTCTATGCAGTGAAACTTTGGCATTCCTGACCACTATTTGACCCTTGTCTGCAGGGCTTATCGCGCGACGGCTACTGAATGAAGATTACAACTTCTTTTTGAAGAACAGCAGAATGTCCTACTGCTGAATCAATATCTTTCGTAAGCATACGTCTCCTTGCAAGTACATTAGGTTGCGAAGAGAAAACAACTGCCGTTCGCACAATGGTTCCCTTACATCTGGACCTGTACAGCTGTGACTCAGTTTGTTATTTGGGCATAACAGAGGGGAGATACCAAAATACTCCACAATTTATGATCTTCTTCTTCTACCATGAAGGATTAGGTCATCTGGCCTGTTTCCATCATAATTAATCTGGAAATATGAATCTTATAGACAGTTGGTAGTACCCTTTGGGAGGGGGATCAGCCCGTCGCAAGGCCGCTACCTGCACGGGACAACACAAACACAGAAGAAACGCGGACAGGTATCTATGCCTATGATCCCAGTGTTTGAGAGGACGAAAACAGTTCATGCCTTCGACCGATCGGCCACTGTGACCAGTTAATTTGTGATTTAACCTAATATTTCTTGACTGATAAAATTAAGTTTAAAATGAATAGGACCTGTACAATTGGTGAAATGTGAAACTTTTACATTATCATAAAGGGAAGGTGTGACTCCGGGGCCAGGCGTGTAGACAGTCTCATATCATTAGAGACATTGGATGTTACGGTGGAGATTAGTTTGAGCTGGCTAACGATGAGATTCAGATGGCTGGATTTTGTAAATGCGGCAAAGAACTGTCAGGTTCTTCAAAGGCAGGAAATTCATTTCTTGACTAGCTTACTTTTTTCCCCACCTGCTCTACAGCCCCTTTGGGGCCCTGGCCTGATTTTCATTTTCATGATCATTTTACCGACGGTGGGACTCCTGGGACGGGTGATCAGCTCGTCGCAAGGCCTCCACCTGACCGCAGGACAACACAAACACCGAATAAACACATACACATGCCAAACATCGAAGCCTTGTGTGGGATTCGAACCCACGATCCATGTTTCCGAGCGGGCGAAGACAGTTCATACCTTAGACCGCTCGGCTACGGCGACCGGCAACTAGCTTAGTTACTATCAGATTTTCAAATTCATTAACTCTGCATTCTCGTACAGGATGTCAACAGAATAAGATCGGTGTTTGATCGTGTGTTGTTTTCGTGATCGTGATACAGAATTCAGTGAAGCAGAAACGTAAGTAACGGCAATTACGTCAAACATGCGTCCGGGAAGACTCCAGATGCGCACCAAATATCCAGACGTCCAGCCACGAACACTGGACGTGCAGTATTTGAAGTTATGGTTCCAGTAGCAGCCGTAATTTTGTGCTTCTGTGGCTCAACCCTGCCTACTTGTCCACCGTTTCCTTGAACCTTACATTTTATCTCATTTTAGAAGGGGCAGTCTTTCATACGAAGTCACACAGCTTTCATAAAAATCTCTCAGTTGGTTTGAAATTTTTATGAGGTACCGAAATATGACCCTGGGGTCAACTCCACCTGTAACAGAAATGTATACCAGGAAACTTCCTGGAAGCAAGTGCGACCGGCGCTTAAGGCTGACAACTTCACCGCCATCACTGATCCGATTGTCTAGAAAATGTGGGAACCTCGACTCTCACAACTCTACGGGCTCCCAAGGCCTGTTACAGGGATAGTTTTACATTATATAAAATGGGGGGTGGAAAATACATAATTTGGGTCTGCTTATAAAGGAAGGTACGATATCTAATCCCTTCTCCAATGCTTTGATTCCTGCATTTTATTTAGCAAAATAAGCATTCTTCTGTTTGTGTATCCATGGTAACTTAGGTATAGGGTAATTTTCGATGTCAACTGAAGACTAAAATACACAGAAACAAAATATTCAATAAAAAAAAAACAGTCTTCTGGGATTTGGCGCCGTGTATATGTGGTGTTAACCGACGTTTCGGAGGAACGTATCGCCTCCATCTTCAGGGTAGAAGGAAAAATATAAGAAATCCGCAGGCGAAGAGACCGTGAGAACCGGTACAAGCTTCATAGTCACCGCCGTGAAAACCTCAAATCTTACAAAATATCCACTGTTGTGAAATTAAATTACTCTGAGCAGTTGATCAGAGTCTGTAAGTGAGAAATTTCATTCATAGCACTGAAGCAGTTGCAATGAAACTGCTGCAAATAGCCAAGAAACAGAAAGCTGTTCTCTCACACGCGACCTGAACGACTGCGCCTCTCATAGTCTAGAGACTGTATACACTGAACTCTCACCTACATATCTTACGAATTCATGCAGAACTGATAATGAAACTTGGATTTATTCAGCCCAGTTATAAATCGTCTGAACTTGGAACGCAGCACTGCATTGAGATTTCTGCAACGATCGATCTGAGTCAACTTTCAAGATTTCAAGAAATCGCCCAATAGTTCACGTTGTTAGTGTCTGAAGACATTGTAACTTCATTAAGAAGGTAAGAGACGGTTTTTTCAAGGCGGATATTACTTATAAACACGACAATCACTGATATGCATTCATTTATAGGGCCTAATATATATAATTTTATGACTGGTTATAAATATTTTAGTGTGTATTTATATTTCATTTAATTGCACTATGAATGAAGTGACAGGTTGGAGAAAACTGCATAATGAGGAGCTTCATAACTTGTACTCTTCTCCAAGTATAATTTGAATGATCAAGTCAATGAGGATGAGGTTGGCAGGTCATGTAGCAGGAATGGGGGACACGAGGAATGCGTATGGGATATTGGTGGGAAAACCAGAAGGAAAGAGACCACAGGAAAGACCAAGGCGTAGGTGGGTGGACAATATTAGAATGGATCTTAGAGGGATAGGATGGGATGGTATGGATTGGATAGATCTGGCTCAGGATAGGGACCAGTGGAGGGCTCTTGTGAACACGGTAATGAACCTTCGGGTTCCATAAAATGCTGGTAAGTTCTTGAGTAGCTGCAGAATTGGCGGCTCCTCCAGAAGGGCTCAGCTCCATGAGTAAGTAAGTAAGACGAGTAACTCGGTTTGTAGGCCATGCCGTAGCTCAGGCGGTTATTCGCCAGCTTCCCACCGCGGCGGCCAGTCTTCGAGCCCAGGTCAAGTCACATGTGATTTGTGGTGGACAAAGTGGCACTGAGGCACATTTTCTCAGAGTACTTTGGTTTCCCCTGCCAATTCTCATTCCACCGACTGTTCCACATTCTGTTCTATCATTCGGACCTGGTAGAGCAGGCCAGATAGTGGCCGACGTAACAAGTAGACTGTCTCACCCCCCTCCAAAGATAATAAAATAAAGGAGCTCAGTTTGTAGAAATAAGGCTCATAATGAGAAGTAAATGGGACATACAGAGACCCAGACCAGCTATCTATCTATCTGGCTAGGTATCTATATCTATCTGTGGCACTAAAGCCCTCGTGGACCTTGGCCGTTTTTCAGTTTCTTAATCTATACACAGTCGGTAGGACTCCTTGCACGGGGGATCAGTCCGTCGCAAGGCAGCTACCTTCGCACAGAACAATACAAACACAGAAGAAACGCACACAGATATCCATGCCTCGAGTGGTAACACAGGGTGTTTCAAAGAGAGCTTTACAACTTTGAAAGCTTATATAAATTTATACAGAGGACATACACAACGTTTTGAACTGTCATAATGTAGCAAACCACACCGAGTTTTACCTCGGATAGTTACGGTTCAGTGTGACTTCATTGGTAATGCTGCAGACGTCCCACCTGTAGTCAGTCTCTTGCCACACGCTACGTAGCATCTCTGGCGTCACTTCTGCAACTGAGGCAGTAATTCGAGGTCGGAGCTCAACGACACTTGCAGGCAAAGGTGGTACGAACACTCGATCTTTAACGAATCCCCATAAGAAAGAATCCAGGGGAGTGAGATCCGGTGAACGAGGTGGCCATGCTATCGGCGCCGCTCTACCAATCCACCGACCTGGGAAACGGGCGTTGAGGTACTCGCGCACTTCTCCAAGGTAATGAGGGGGTGCGCCGTCTTGCTGGAAGTGAACGCGTTCTTCTTGGTCATCTTCGTCTAACTGTGGAATGAGGAACTCCAGATATGTCCAGATATACGCTACCGGTAATGGTCGTCTCCATGAAGAAGAAGGGGCCGTACACTCTTTCTTTGCTGAGGGCGCAAAACACGATCACCTTTGGGCTATGACGAACATGTTCCAGGGAGACACGTGGATTTTCGCTGCCCCAGATCCTGCAATTGTCTATATTGACCTTACCACTGACATGAAACGTGCTCTCATCACTGAAAATTACGAAGTCCAGAAACTTCTCATCGTCTTGTATCCGATACAGAAGTCCTTACGAACCACCTTATCTGCATCCGTAAGGTGTTGAACGATGGATAGTCTGTACGCTTTTAAGTGTAAACGTTTTCGTAACTCTCACCACACAGTAACATTTGGAATACCAGTTTCCCGGGACGCACGTCGCGTTGACTTTCATGGACTTCAAACGAAGCTCTCCCTAATCTGTTCCACTGTAGCGTCAGAAACACGTGGCCGACCGGGTGGCTTCGCATGGCGCACAGAACATCTTGTCTGAACAAAATTCTTGTGCTAGGAGTAAATTGTAGGCCTACTGGGAGGTTCCTTGCGATACTTAGTGCGAAATTTCCTTTGAACTTGTGTAGCAGACTTCGTTTCTTCGAACCAAAACACACAACGAGTACGCTCTGCACCTGTGAAAGTAGCCATCTTGATTTCAACTGCGGGAGCTCTCGCAGTGGCGGTATTGGGTACTACAGTACCACGTGTATTAAACTCTGTGTGTTTTGCTACATTATGACAGTTCAAAACGTTGTGTATATCCTCTGTATAAATTTATATAAGCTTTCAAAGTTGTAAAGCTCTTTTTGAAACACCCTGTACTTTAAAAGTTTAGCGTCATTGTCATGAAAGCCAAATATTGTTAGCAACAGGACGTAGCAGGACCGGAGTGAATATGAAGAAGTTGGCAGCCCTGTGTGCAGTTGTCCTGGTGCTGTGCTTCAACACGTTCCTACTGGAGGGCGCCAGGATGCACTGTGAGAGCAACGAATGCCCAGAGGACCACTGTTGCTTGGAAGGTGAGCATAAGCTTTGGAACGTCTAAGAATCACAGCCCGTCAATAATACAACAATTATTAAAATATTGACCATTTAACACTTAACACAACATGTTTCGGCCATAGATGGCCATCTTCAGGTGTTTTAATGCGTCCACTGCTACACTGCTTTGATGCGCTCTAAAACCGTGCGTTGCTATCCACTTAAAATAACATAAATAATTACTTAAAATCCATTAAAATTTCTCTATTAAAATCTTTCGTAGAATCGTATTCCACCTCATAAGGTGCACATATCAAATAGCTTTAAACAAATGGATGTGCAACAGGATGCTGAAATACAGAATCATCATCATCAGTAATCTGTCAAGACGACAGGTCCATAGTCTCTTCCAAAACAATTCCTCCATTTAATGCGATCTAGAGCTTTCTCCTTCAAATGACAGTATCCTCTTCTGTCCCCAAGGTCATCCAGCATCTTCTTACGTCTTCTTCCTCGTCTTCTTGTCACTTCTATCTGCCCATCTATCTTTCCTTCGATAATTTCTTTTAGAAGGCAGTTTCTGCGTAAAACATGACCAATCCAATTAGCCTTCCGTTTTCTTATTTCGTGTAGGATATTCCTCTGCTCACTGACTCTAATTAACACTTCTTCATTTCTCACATAATCGGTCCAACTGATCTTCTCCATCCTTCTCCAACACCACATTTCGAAACTTTCCAGATGTTTCTGATCCACTGCCCTAAGTGTCCATGTTTCAGCCCCATACAGAGCTATGCTCCAAATGTAGCATTTCACTAGTTTCTTCCTCAAATTTAAGTCCAATTTGCTGGTAAAAAGATTCTTCTTCTTGCTAAATGCAGCTTTTGCCATGGCAATCCTAGATTTAATTTCACTAGTACACCTTCCGTCATCTCTTAACAAGCTACACAAATATTTAAAACAAAATACAGAATAAGCTTTGGAAATTACATCATGTACTCGAAGCACAGTTTATCTCGAAACATCTCTGACAGCTGTTCTACTGAGAAGTTTAAAGCCTCTCTTAAAATATTGGCTCCGACGCGCTGTCTCCCCGATTTAGGTAATCGTAAATAAGTGAATATTCAGAAAACAGGAAAGGAAGACCACGTATACAGGGTGTTTCACGACTTCAGGGCATAACTGCAGGAGGTGATTTCCCAGGTCTTTGTGATCAAAAAAGTTCATATAAACATGTATCCGATTTTGGACGGTTATGGAGTTATGACCGTTTTTTCATTCCCGTACACGCCCTCGTGTGAACCGCGTCCGTCATCTGGTGGGTCGCTATTTTTAGCCAGCTACAGACAGAGCGTTCTCGTTATTTCGACACTTGAGAGGTACCTAAGGCGTGGTGGGTTGGTATGTCCGGCGCGGTTCACAACCGAGCGGCAGCCTGTGTTGCGGCCGGTGGTGGCATTTTCGAAAATCAGCTTTAAGCACCAATCAATTCAAATTAAAGGTAATTTCACGAAGTTAACTTTACATTCATACTTTAAATGTATCATGTATTATGCTGGTTTATTATTTTGTTCCGTTTATTATCAGCAATCGTTACCTTCTATTCTGAGTTTAAAACGGCCATAACTCCGTAACCGTCCAAAATCGGACACATGTTTATATGAACTATTTTGATCACAAAGACCTAGGAAATCACCTACTTAACTTATGCCCTAAAGTCGTGAAACACCCTGTATATTGTACGTATATAATTTGTCTGCATTAATTTGTTTACATCTTCCATTCATTATTTTTTGCTTTATCTCTTCTCCGCCTCTACTTATCTTCTCCGGCTAATGATCTACGCCATTTTGGCAATTTCCCCGCGTAAACTGAGATCTGCGAGTTCGTGCAGTGAGGGATTCAAATGAATGGCTTTTGAGACCTTTCAGGAAATAAATATTTGGTTCAAAAACAGGCCGTGAAGCGTGTACAGCAACAAGAACAACTCTGTGGCCTTTAGTCCGCAGGCGAACTGTACCGACCGAGCGACCGCCGCTTGTCGGCGAAGTTAGTGCCAACTTTTGCGGATAGAGGGTGTCGCGTGGTCAGCGCAACGCATCTAGCCGCTATTTCCTTGAAATAACTCCTCAATTATCCTCACGAGGCTGAGTGGACCCCATTCCAGAACCACTACTTCTCAGAAAATCTGGTAGTTCTGGGAGTGGAACCCATGACCTCTGGAACTGTAGCCAGGAACTCTGACCAGTAGACTACAGAGGCGGTCATGTATATAAAACCGGAATACACGGCGTTACACACCAGAAGACATAAGTCATTATGTTCGTATTTCTATGGCATTTCGGATTTTATATACAATTTCAATACCTTGTGAAATATTAAGGATTTGTTATGACTTTTGGAACATGTTCAAATAACTGTATAAGAGTACAAATGAAAATTATGACGTAATTAAATTTCATACCTCGTATGCAATTTAAATATACGTGTTTCTCATTGTATATTTTGCTTTCCTTCAGTTGGGGAGGACTATATATGCACCAAACTACAAACATTGAATCAGGAATGCCAACGTGACGGATACCAAAGTGTCACCGACAATCCAGAAGATCAACAAAAAATTACGTACGTGGGGAGCTGCCCATGCGCACCAAGCCTCATCTGCAACAGAGCTACGAGCAGTGAGGACAGCGACAGTAGCGCCAATAGCGGAAATGACGGGGTGTGCCAAACCGAGGAACCGGAAAAAGATGACGGAGAACCGGCGGAATGACCAGAGAATAGTGTCGTTAGGAAGCCGACACCGAATACGGGTACATACAAATTCCGGGCAAGAATCTGATGTAAAGAGACAGATGTCAAATGAAAGTTTAAATCTTGTTACAGAAGAATTGTTAAAATGCTCTCTACTGAGGATGCTTTTATTTTTAATAAAGTCTTAAGAAACTTCATGTGGAAATAGATTTTATTGTTGTTGGTAAATAGACGACAAAACATTTTTCTTTGCATCAAAATTTCCTTGATATTTCTAACCCAAAATACCTACATCAAATTAATTCAGAGATTTCAAAATAAACGTGAGATATGTACTTCCCATGACGGTCACTATGTAAAGTATTGTCGTGTGGTATAGCGTTACCAACATTTCTAAGAAAACTGCTACCTCCACCTGGAATATTCAGATTCACTGAATACCTACCTAGGATGGATAAATTCTTAAATACCAAGCAATGGCCGTGCCATAGCTCAGGTAGTTAGTCGCTGGTTTCCCACCGCGGAGGCCCGGGTTCGAACCCCGGATCTGGTCATGTGGGATTTGTGTTAGACAAAGTGGCGCTGGGGCAGGTTTTCTCCTAGTACTTCGGTTTCCCCTGCCAAACTTCATTCCACCAATTCCTCCTCTATCACCATCATCTGTTATCTTGAGTTCGTACACTAGGCTAACAGTGGCCATAGTACCGAGTGGACTCAGTCTCGCCCCAACCAGGCTCATGCACACCCATCAATCCATGCAATCATGCATACATATACATTCGCAGGCAGATAGATAGACGGTCTGCTAAAGATAAATTAATCTCGTAATTTGGGGGGGGGTTAAAATATGTCAAACCCCCAAAATCTCAGTATCCATCTCTTTCGTGGCCATAACACTATCCCGTAATACGTATGAGAGAAAGTGAGAGAAGCTATAAAATATATTTTCTCTCTGAAAACTTGCAGTCCTACAAACATTACACTGTTAAATACCTATTAGATGATGTAAGTTTACATTCCTACAACAAAATTCCCTTTAGCTGATGGTTTAGCATGCTGGAATCGTGTGTGGGCTGTCCTATGATTGAATCTTATTCAAACAAGAATTTTACAGCTTGTTTTTAAAATTACTACTGCTACTATCTCCTTTTAAGGAAGAATTTAATAGGCCTACTTGAGTTACATACAGAATCTGAGTTAAACTTCTCTGATGTGAACACAAAATTTCTCACCACTTCAATTTTTGTAACTCTTGACTCATTGGTTTATAGGTCTTTACATACTTTGTGATGTATGTGATCTGTCTACAAACTACATTTCAGATTTCTCGTTAAAGCTGTTAACTAAGGATATTAAACTGAAACTCCGTAACCTTTAGTCCGCAAGCGAACTATACCGTTCGAGCGACCGCCGCTTGTCGGCGAAGTTAGTACCAATATTTACGGATAGATGGTGTCGCGTGGTCAGAGCAACGGATTCCCACGGCCGTTAATCTCGATTTTCTTGAGCGTATTAAACTGTAAGTTAAACGAAAATATTCTGAAGGACGTCATGTCATAATTTTACATCACACAAAATAAAATGCCTGAACGAAAACTACTGGAATCTAATTTATAATTTGTTTAACAATGTTGCCAGGATACATAGCTTTGAGTGGCGGTATGATTGAATGAATAATAAATGGCAAAGGATGTGGAAGGAATCGGTAGTTGTCTAATTTTGAAGAGTACTGAGTAGAACCATGACAGGCAACATTTACCTACCATTTCAAAGCTCAGGTACATTTGCAGGAACCTGAAACTCTAACCCAACTTCACTTAACCTCACACACCGCACCTAACCCAGTCTGACCAACCTCTGCATGAACATACAGGTGAATGTGGAACCTAACCGGATGTAAATCAAAATGTCCAAGCTGTCCGAATTCGCAGGTTGGTGCACAGTGGTCTAATACAGTGGTTCTCAACCTTTGTCAGGCCGCGGCCCGTCGGTTGAGAAACACTGGTCTAATACGCCACTCTAACCTTACATGTACACCCATTGCTTGGCAACGGATCGGTAAACAAGTCCCTGTGAAGACAGATTCTATGTAAACAGTCAGTTACTAGATTACTCAACAATTCTGGAAAACAGAAGTGTTTTCAGTGTGGTCCGCGCCATGCCCAGCGCTAGGCAACAGAACTGTGAACACTTCTACAATAATAGAAGCTGTTTTCTATGCGCGGTCCCTGCCGAAGGTTTATATGGGACAACAAATGTCGTTTATGGGTACCCCCGCGTACAACCTCAGCCCTGCAAGTCGTAGGAGGCGACGAAAAGGAACCCAGTGCCTGGGGTACAACTGGGTCACCCTCCTCCTGGGGGGATATAAATATGAGGACCTGGCCCTCCAGGTTTGGGGAGTCTCGAATCTGAGACAGTAAAATATGACCATGAGGGGGGTATATTACGTAACTGCAGAAAGTGATGACAACTATATGAGGATACTGTCACTCTAAAATGTGTACAAAATAGAAATAAATGCAAAGTTAATACAATTTTCTGTTGAGTTCAGGACGCTTGAAGACAGAAGACGCACTCTGTGGCTCTGGGTCCAGGCGCGGCCGAGCCCATCTGTGCAAGTATACGTACAGCAACCGATAAACATATACAGATACATAACATAGTCATCTTAGTTAAAAATTCTGATTTTCAAGAATATCGACTTCTTCGTAGAGTCCTCTGACAGATTTTATAACATAGGAATTTCTAAATATCGTATTGTAAAGGAAGCAGCATTGCTGTCTATTAGGAATTGCAGTATGACACGATCTACACTTAGAGGAATATTCTGTTTGCTTTCAGTTTGGTCCCGTGCACATACAAACATAGGAAGAACTCCGTAACGCGATAACAACTTATAGCAGTTTCTGAAATCTTGTTTTATTTATAGTTACTAATAAAAACAAACACTAAACATAATTAGCAGCATTAATCCCCCTAGTAACTATTGAGTTTTGAGGCATTCAATATTACTATACCGAACAAAAACAAAAATACTTACATTTCTTCTCAGGCGACATCAATTCACCACGTTGTGCTGTTCATTTTTCTACACTGAAGGGTTCCTCTAGTCATTAGTCTACCTGAGTGAAGTGTGTCACCTTCAGCACAGATGCACATGAAATACTGTAGCACTTTTAACAATTCTGGTGTGTCCCAAATACACAGTATTCGTGTCCACATTCGCTCCAGTAAATAAGCAAAGGCTTAAAACCCATATTGCATACGATAATTTGACATCCTGAACTCAAGTATTCAAAGGATATCAATTCGCAGTTCTATGAACGAATCTTCCAGTCTAAGCACACCCTTCCAACTGTCCCAGCTGTCCCAGCTTTCTTACAGATTATAAGTTTTGCTCACCACGCTGCCTTACCCACATTGGCAAACTTTCACCCTCTTCCACTTTGAAGGTCACCAAGATGGTACCCAGCTACATGTCATTCGAAGACACTGACAGCGCTAGTGTCTCTAACCCAGTGGTTGCTAAAGCATGGGGCGCGTCCCCCTGTGGGAGCACAAGTAGTTGGTTAAGAGGTCATGGGACATTGTGGAAAAATTATGCAGTAAAAATTAATAAACTGTAATCCTCAACGCGTCAAAGAATGATGTTTACGAGTAATTTCATTTGATTATAAAATATTGATAAATAAATAATGACTGACTCTGTGGTCTACTGGTCAGAGGTCCTGGCTACAGATCCAGAGGTCCGGGTTTGATTCCTGGTGCTACCACTGAGAAGTAGTGGGTCTAGAACGGGATCCACCCAACCTCGTAAGGATAATTGAGGAGCTATTTCAAGGAACTTGCGGCTCCAGTCTAGAAAACCGAGATTAAAGGCCTTGGGGATTCGTTGCACTGACCACGCGACACCCTCCATCCGCTAAAGTTGGCGAAGGTCGCTCGGTCGGTATAGTTCGCTTGCGGACTAAAACTGCGGAGTTTAAATAAACAATATTATTGTTTGATGAAACCTAATATTTGTCGATTTTAAAAAGAAAACTGATAAGACTCTTCTTTAAACATACAAATTTTTGGAATTGAGGGGAGCTCGATGAAGTGTGTGTTAGATTTGAGGTTTTCACGGCGGCGACTATAAACAAAACAGTCTTCTGGGATGTGGATGAGGAACGTGTACTGCTTGCGGATTTCTTATTTATCCCCCTACCCTGAAGATGGAGGCGATACGTTCCTCCGAAACGTCGGTTAACAGCACATCTACATTGTGCCACATCGCAGAAGACTGCTTTCTTCAAGTGTGTGTTACTTTGAAGGGGCCGACTGGAAACCACTGGTCTGGTCTACCAAGCACCGCTACTGCTCCATACCTACAGCATGTGGCTGCAGGTTCTTCATTCGCCCAGATTGAAGGATACATAATTCCTGTCCTTTCTTAACGAAAGAAAATTTGTAAATTTAATCAGAATCAGTGGCATTACTAGCCCGAATTCAAGAGATTTCCTTCCCATATTCCCGAATTTATCTTCAATTTGTTTAAAATTTGTCTACTTCTTTTAAGTATATAACGAAACACCGCGGCGGCCCGGGTTCGATCCCGGGTCTGGTCAAGTGGGATTTGTGGTGGACAAAGTGGCGCTGGAGCAAGTTTTCTCCGAGTACTTAGGTTTCCCCTGCCAATCTTCATTCCACCAATTGCTCCACAATCATCCTCACCTATCATCTGGGGCTGGTACAAGAGGCCAGAAGTGGCCGCAGTACAAGGGACTTAGTCCCACCCCTCTAGCAATAAAATAAAAGGGTGATTAATGAATATGGAGCAGTTGGTGGAATGAGAATTGGCAGGGGAAACCGAAGCATTCGAAGAAAAACTGCTCCAATGACAATTCTGGCACCATAAATCCCACATTACGTCTTCTAGGATCACTGATCCATAAGAAAGTCTACCTTACGTAAGATCATAAATTAACTTCATGCCTTGGGTGCCTATCGTGAGCTCAGTCAGAAGTGTTTGCTTATGAACTTTTGTTTAAACATTTTAAGACTCTTTTTACGGATATTCCTAGAGTTTTGGATTGCTATATTGAAATATAAATGGCGCCACTTGTAGAAACAATTTCATTTTCATATGGATTTAGGTACATTTCCTTTTTTTTTTTTCAATTTTGAATTGTATTTTTAAATGCAGTCAATTTGATTTCTAGCCGTACTTAACCAATTACAACGCCTAATTTATTTACGTCACAAACTGACTCTTCCTCTTATCCCAAAACAGTTCAACAGATTTCGCTGTAATTCGATAGTGGCAATTATTATGTTATTCACTTTCGGATTTTGGTCGATTTGCCTAACAAATTTTGTGTTTTCATAAAATACTGCTAATAATTTGGCTTAATGAGCTGCAAATAACGTCTTTGATACGTTTTTGTTCTCTATTACGAAGTACACTCATTTCAGACTTGTATCGTGTTCCCGGCAGTTTAGAATGTCATGGTTCTTGCAGTCACGTGATTTGTCCGTTGCCCTTTAAGTGAACTACCGTTCTATACCTATTTCATCATGTTATAGAACAACTTAATTACGTGTTCCTAGAGAGGCTGAGAGGTAGAACAGTGACATGAGAGAACAGACGAACAAGTTTTACGACAGAGAGTAGGGGGAAGATAATTACTTCTTGCAGTCAGATGCCCGATCGATCTACATCAAAGACACCGTGAGCTGGACAGCTTAGCTAAAAACGTTTTACAACTAAAAATAATTCAATTGTCATAGATTATTTGTAAACGTAACATATTTTATATATAAACTAAAATAAGTAGTAATTAAATTGTTAAAATAATTTCATGTAGGTTACAATTTGAATTGTTATTCTAAAGCCCTGAAAACACGAATTAAACCGAATATGGAATTGATGCCACCCAATTTTGTCATTCCAATTTACATAGGATATAATAGTTCTAAATGAAAGCAGTACATACATGTATTTGGTAGGCCGCACACCGGCATGCGTCAAGACATGTAACAGTCAAGACACGATGTCTGTGACATGACGCAAAGAAAGGAGCACAGTTGAAACGAATGAGATTATGAAAACCGCCGCACACCGGTCTGAGTCATGATGCTGACGTCAGCTTCATGCTGACGAGTCACGAATGAAGCAAGACTGCGTCTTTTGTCTTATGTCTTGATGCTTGTCTTAACACAGTTGGTGTGCGGCCGCCCTTAGGGACACTAAATCCTGGATTTCAATCCTTATGTCTATTTCTCAATTAAAATGCTTTCTCTGAGCAATATTACGTTAAAAAAAATCTATTTTTTTTTATTCGCATAGTGGGGGGTGGAGTCCAACTAGGTCCACTCGGCACGGCGCCCACTAATTGGCCTATTCTGGCCTGCCCCTGGTGATTATGATGATGGAGAATTTGGTGGAATGAAGATTATCAGGGGAAACCGAAGTACTCGTAGAAAACCCGCCCCAGCGCCACTTTGTGCACCACAAAGCCCACTTGACCAGACCACGGGATCGAACCCTGGCCGCCGCGGTGGGAAGCCAGCGACTAACCGCTTGAGATATGGCGCGGCCACAATATTACGTTAGAAAAAATATAAAAATTATGCTGTTGTGTAATTAATATCGAAATGCCGCCACGGCCTTGATTGAATTTTTCACTAGTCGCCATTTGCTTTTCCGTGGCATGCACGCGGCAGGTTACGCAAGAAATGAGCCGGAACAGCTCATACGGTTAAACGCCGACTTCCCAACGTGGAAGCCCAGAATCAATGCCGGTACAATTTATTTGGGATTTTGGTTAACAAAGTGGCTCTGGGGCAGGCTTTTCTCGAAGTAGCTACTTGTGTGTTCCCTTTCCGGCCATTAATCCGCCAATTTTCCACGCATTGTCGAGGGATGAAAAAGACGTAAATAAATGAAGAACTGAATTATTACTATCGCTGACTTCACAGTCGTCAGCCACATGCAGAAACGACCTGTTTTCAGTGTTGTCACCCTTATCATCACCATCAAAGTAATGTAAAGTTGAACCTGTTCTTAATTAAACGTGAAGACGTATGGGGGGAATGGATGTATAGCTTCATGCATTCTTAACCTTTGCGGTAGGATTAAGTGAGTAGTGAATTTCAAGTCCCGAGCCGCATTGCCCACGCCGATAGATACCCACTGTACAAGAGAAGGCTGTTGGTCCCATTGCTTGTCTGGATTGCGTGTGGAAGAGAGAAATTTATTTCCCAGCAGGGAATCACACCCAGATTTCTCGATTGTCCAGCTAAGCTGATTGTATAATTGTTATTGTTATTGTTTTATTATTATTATATTTTATTTAATGTTGGCAAGCACTTGCGAGTAAAAAAAATTGAATTTTTAACTGACTGCCTGTTGAGCAAGCATTAAAAAATAAATAATGTAATTAAATTGAATTATTTAGCCAGTCATAACGCTGCGTGTGCAGGCAGTATTGTAAACATTCTATAGAACAATATGGAACAATGTCTCACATATCCATACGAACAATCCTAACACTTCAAGATATTTTATGAATGGACAGAAACCAGTCGTGGTAACAAGAATTTCATGGAGACTTGAGCATAATGGTACCTGACTACTTTTCAGATAACATTAATATTACCTATCGTTATGTGCGAAAATTGAATCTAGCCTCCTATCTTACCGAGAAAATGTAAATTAAGGGAATCATAACAGAGTATTGATGAGCATATTTGGACCAAAGAGCCAGGGTAAATTTTCATAATAAATATTTTCAAAATTTGTACCCCTCACATCTGATTCAAGTGGTCAGACTGCTTAACCCTTTAAAGACCGAATTTCTTTCAAACTAAATATATAAATACAGTCCGTACTTCACAGGAAACACACTGTGTCTCCGCTACAAAGCCCAACTGGTTAGTACTCTTTTGGGAAATATCTGATGCTTATTGTGAGAACTATATGAAACACACAAACACACTGTGTGTGCAGAATGCAGGATTCTAGGATGTTAAATCAGGTCGTGCATATATTAACCATTAAGCTTTAAAAGGTTAATAGAAGTTTGGTTATTAATTCCATATGCCTATATCTAGAAATACTGATCATAGATATAGCCTGTTTCAGCCACATGTTATGCATTTTAAGTAGCATATTTAAAAATATGTGCATTCTACCTACAGATATGCAGTTTTGGTGACGAAATTTCTACATCATACTTTTTGTTGTTACACTTAACATTCATTCATTCCTTCTTTTAAATATTTCACTGTGCAGAGCAGAGTGTGCATGCATGCACGACTATGGATATGCATCAGTTATATAGTGTATAATCTTATGAGCATATGTATGTATATAGGCCTATGTATTAGAACCTGTGGTAAGTAAGCCCAGAGGTTCAGCAACTTTCGTTCTAAGAAAACATGAAAAGTGATTTTATTGTGGCTGAAACTAAGGGTGCAGTCTA